ATATCTTTAATTTTTAGAGGTTTCTGAACATTTTGGCATACCTCAGAATAAATTGATGTGTGTGTATTTATGTGTGGATACAATTTTTCGACGTTTTCAGGAGTATCGCTTAACCAATTTGAATTATTGAAAAAGCAATCGATTCCTACTACGGGGGTTAGTGCTGATTAGTTGTTGGCAAAGACAGGTCCAGTCGTTTCGAAGATACAGAGCTAAATGTGTAAAAAAATGGCAGTTTTTGAGAGAACAAAGCATCCGATTTTAATGATTCAAAAAACTTTTAGCATGTGTTGAGGAATAAATGTTTTTGGGAAAAGCAAAAAATTTTTTTTCTTTATTTCAAAATTTAAAAAAAAAAAAAATACGAAAGCTAGCTAAAATACTTATAATAAATAATTTTAACCTTGCAAAGTTTATATAATGCTTAGAATTATTGGACGATGAGCTTCTTCATTTTAACTCCCTTTCGTAAGGAATAATTAAGTTTTATTATTTATTTTTCATGTAAACATAATCGTCAAACTTATAAGCTCTTATATTTTCTATAAAATACGAATAATATAAGTTACACTATTTATAATAATATATTCGAAAACATTTAATATAATCCTATTATTTTATTACAGTACGGAAAGTTCCAGCAATATGTGATTGTAAATGCAATTGTAACTAGCTGTAAGTGGAATTCTGTCTTAAGGCAATTAAGGCATCGTGCCTTAAAGCAAATTGCTGGAACTTCCCGTACCAAAAATTATTATTTTTTTAAAAACGATTAACATTTTTGAAAAAATTTACTTCGAAAAAATAATAATAATAATTTTTGACAAACAATTAGACAAAAAATTACTTTTTTTAAAAAAATTTTTTTTTTTTTAATTTTTTTTTTTTTGAAAAAAATGTTTTTTTATTTCGACATATTTTGAAAGATCTAAACTTTTTTTGAAAGCAATCGTACTGCTTTAACTGCATAAAGACGAAATATCAAACCGCGTCGACGTCTAACGCGTAACATTGGTACGGACCCATAGGAATGTAAACCAAAATTTTACTTATTGTTAAAATCTCTATAAAATATCTGATAATTTGATGTGCATATGTCTAATGATCATTTTTGACCGCCAAATGGCATTTTTTTACTTTTTTCATTAGATCTCCAAAACCGCTGGACCTGCCTTTATAAAAATTTGATCGGTTCTTCACCTTGTCAATACAAGTAAAATGTTTTTTGAATTATTAAAATCGGACGCTCCGTTCTCTTAAAAACTAAGTTACAGTTTTCGGCATTTTTTGCCCCGTATCTTCGGAACGGCTGAACCTGACTTTGCCAAAAACTAATCAGCACGTCTCCTTATCAATACGAATCGAATGTTTTTTGAATTATTCAAATCGGTTGATCGGTGTTCCCGAAATCGTCGACGAAAATTTGTATCCGCACATGCATACACACACGCACATACACACACACACACACACACACATATACATCCATTTTTTCTAAGGTATGCCAAAATATTCAGAAACCTTTGAAACGTCGAGAAATGCAAAAATTTTCATTTTCGATTTTTTTGCGATTACTATAACTTGCCTTACGGGAAGTTAATAATCATTTTGTTATATTTTTATTTTTTACTACAAAAGTAAAAAGTAAAATACGCTATTCAAAAAAAAATAATTGGCTCGTTCGAAATAATGTGTTTTAACAGATTGAATTGATCAAATCTACTATTTATGACTTGTCTTGGGTTAAACATTTTGAAGTTTTTTTTTAAAACTAAATTATTGCATTTTCCAAACAATTCAAATTTTTTGTCTTTATATTGTGCTTTACATTTAGTTATCTAAACTGCGTCACCAAATAGTGCAAATCTTGAAACAAACGCTAACATAATATGTCCTCCAGGGACGACATCCCTACACAAAGTATGTCATGTGGATGTCGTCCAAGAAAAGGGTTAATTAAAGTTGTCACATAAAAGGTAATCAATTCGTACCATGTTAATATAATATCATCATTTCTTATACGATTTTCCACTGCAATATACCATTGATCGCCATGAGTCAGATTGAAATGGTTAGCTTAAGTAATTGAGACCGCAGTTTACCTTACGGTATAAAAAATCTAAATTAACTCGTCATTAGAAAGTATATAATATGTGACAATAACAAAACGTTAATGACTAGATACATTTGGATGTGCATTTACATCCGACATATTTTGAAGTTACAAAACTTGCCGGATGTTATACCACCAGTACATCATTTTTTGTTAATCTGTTTACGAAATAATAAAATGTAATTTGTCTTAAATTTTTATATAAATATGTAAAACTATCATTGAATTAATTACTTCGAAATACGAAATATAAAACAGTACTTTCATTAAAATTATACAATTATTTTAATTTTAATGTATTATATTATTTAGTTTTTTTTGTAAAGTTAGTAATGTATTAGTAATAGTAATTGTTAACATACTTCTGCACATAACTCTTATCATTTTGTCTTTATATATTATTATATAAATTCAATAAAAAAAATGGTGACGAGGATTCTATTATTAATATATTAAAGTAACAACTGAAACTAATCAAATACATTAGTCAGATAATATCTCACACTAGAGCAGAAAATCTATCAAAATTATATTATTCATTGCTCTAACAGATATATCACAAATGACATAATTATAAATAAGAAAATTATATTTTTAAATTGCGGCATGACAATTTGTCAAATGTATCGCAGTTACCATCATCTTCCCTACTCCAAAATATATCCTATAAATTGTTTTAATTCCATGTTACTAAATTATTTTAACAACAAATACAACTATATAATTTTTTTAATTTTTAAAGTATATACAAAATTTTAATGCTTTTGGTTCTGATCAAAGTTTTATACAAATAACTCATGTTTGCCAAAAGCAAATCTTTTAAGGATTTCAGATGATTCATGTAACTATTTTGAGAAGTTGCAATAACACTGTAAGTACCAACGCCGGTAAAATTGACCGTTTTCAAACTTTAACGATTACAATAACTTACCCTACGGAAAGTTAAAAACTCTTTGCTTCTAGTTATTTTTTCTATTTTTCGAAAAAAATTGTTATGTGGCTTAACTACGGCAGCGCTTTTCCTTAATCGTGGCGGACGGATACATATACAGAGACATCGAAAATTATAAAAAAAAAATTATCATCGGCTTTTTAAAATAGCAGAGTATAGAGATTGATCATAAGTACTAAATCTCAGTAGACATAAATTATTTTTGAAAGACCGTTTCGGAATTACAGAACGAGAGACTTGTATCGACTAAAAAATTTTAAAATTGATGAGAACAAAATAAAATATCTGAGTCGAACTTGTATCGACTAAAACTTTTCAACATGTTAATCGCCACGATAATATCAGAAAATGTATTAAGGAAACTGTATAAATTTTTTTTTTGCCAAAATTCCTCGATAAACACTATATTTTACGTCACACATATATGACTGACATGACCCTATTTTAAAACATTTTTTCTAGGAAGCCTAGAAATTTTCAGGGTTTGTTCCTGATAGGCCAAGCTTTCGAAACATACTGTAAACTAGTGGCGTGTATGGCATCGTGCCTTAAGGCAAATTGCTGGAACTTCCCGTACCATAATGAAATGTTCGAGGAATACTGAATGTTTTCAAATAGATTATTATTAATATTGTAACATTTCTAATATTTATAAGAATTATATAAACTGAATTGCAAAGTTGGAATTATTTGTTCAAAGTATATTAGAAGTATAGTCAGAATTAAAAATAAAATCTGAATTATTTTCGATATACAAAATTTTTTTTTTTTGAAAAAAGAAGTTGAAACCAAATTTTTTTTTTCCCCAAAATCAATTATTTTGTTAAGACAAGCAGAAAGTTCTTTGAATTATTTAAATCGAACGCTTAGTTCTTTCAAAAACTGCCATTTTTTGCACATTTAGCTCCGTATCTTCGAAATGGCTGGGCCTGTCTTCGCCAAAAACGAATAACACTTCTCCAATCATTACTAATTGAATGATTTTTAGATTTAGAAAAACTCGATTTCTATTTTCTGCACACTTTGCTATTTATCTCCGTAAAGGCTGGACCTGCCTTTGCCAAAAACTGATCAGCTTATCTCCCTATGAATAGGAATCGAATGTTTTTTGAACCCTTCAAATTGGTTGATCCGTGCGTCCGAAAACGTGACTAGAAATTTGTATCCATTCAAACATACACACACACACATCATTTTTTTCTGAGGTATGCCAAAATGTTCAGAAACCTTCAAAACGTCGAGATATGTAATGTAAAAATTTTCAATTATGATTTTCGGCCCATTACAATAACTTACCCTACAGGAAGTTAATATATCGTTTGCATCGGACATCTGTGATTGGTATGCCACAGATTGGCGCATTTAGAACTTTTTTGAGTCAGACATATGACTAACGCTGATATGGCGATTAACGTGTTAAAATTGATGAGAACAAGAATGAAATATCCGAATCGATCTTGTATATACTTCGGTTTTGTATTTAGAACTGCACCATTTTCCCTTAAATATACGGAGGTTAAATTCGTCAGCTATGGATCGAGTCCAGGATCAACAGAATCCTAAAGTAGTCTATAACCTGGACGTCTTGCGACATATCTGATTATTACAGAGTTGGTATCTATATATTTCGAATAAGTTCACTAATCATTATACAACGAGTGAACAGAAAACATTAAAAATAATAATTCATACATATGCAAGAACAATATAACAATTTTAATTAATTCATATTATGAGTGAAATAGCTAATGAAGCTTCCAACTAGGTCGAAATATATCAGATTCGCCGTCTAGCACAATAAAAAGAGATAAAGTAATAGCATTCTGGTGTCTGCGCCATTAAATAGAGAGAAGCGGGGGTAAAAGGTGAATCCTGCGAACCGCCTGACCCGTCTATAAATGGCGCACACCCGACCAAACCGATGGCACTGTCAGGCTATAAGTGAAACTGCTCGAAAAAATAAAACAGTAGTGCTACACAAAATATTATTATTATTTTTGTTAACGACTAGTAGATTTAGTGCTTATTATAATTGGTGCTCTCAAACAACGACGAACATAAATCATGAGAATAGTCAGTATAAAATGTTATCATTATATTATTATTTATTAAAATCGAACTGAATATATGTATATATACATACATATATATATATATATATATATATATATTATTACGGTAAAAGTCCTATAGTCCGGCTTGCTCGGGACTGACCCCTGCGTCGAACTATCGGGCGATAATTATAAAAACAATTAAGTTAATAACTAAACTACCAAATCAGTAGTTAATACAAACAACAAAACTCATTGTACATTTATTATAATATATATTTAAATATTTTAAAATTCTCGACAAAAAACATGTTTAATTTAAAAAAAAAAGGTAGATTTCTATCCGTTTGACGGTTTCTAGTTTCTGATTGAGAGTTAGTGTTACGTGTTTTCGTTTCTCGTGCAAATTGCACATGTTTGAAAAAATAACGAAATTTTCGAATAAATGCCGGATTATCGTGTAATCCGAATATGCATATATATATATATATATATATATATATATATATATTAAGGTGGTCCTTAATATGGACATTTTCGAATTACCTTGCTCCCAAGAGCTCAAATGCTTCCAAATTGATACAAAAAATCGTCAATAAATTTTGGCTCCTAACATGGTCTTTTAGATAGTGCGCAATTCAATCAAAGTTTTGTATGGAAATAATAATATTAAAAATGTTTTTTAGATATAACTTAGCAAACAAATGAATGAGTTTTACTCAAAATTCGACGCTCTACAAAACAAATTATAAAATACCTGTTTTGTAGTGAGTCGAATTTTCAATAAAAGATGACACGAATTGCCACTTTTAACTCATTTGTCGCCAAGTAAAAAACATTTTTTAAAATTTCAAAAATTTTTCCATGCTATTTCCATACGAAGCTTTGATTGAATTGCGCACTATCTAAAAGTTAATATTAAGAGCTAAAACTTTTAGAGATTTTTTCATCAATTTGGAAGCATTTAAGCCCTTGGTAGCAATAAAATTCAAAAATGGCCATATTAAAAACCACCCATATATATATATATATATATATATATATATATATATATATATATATAAATATATAGTATATAGTTCTTATAATTATATTAATTCATTTATTTTTATTTCATTAACCATGAGCACCCCAATTTTGAGACCTTTATTATATATATTCTTCTACTATTTTTTATTTCATTACAAATATATAAAACACAAAATACCATAAGAGGAGCACGTCATTAAAATGCGCCCATTAATTAATATGAAGCTCACATACTAAAATTTCAATCTAATACTAATAAAAAAATTACCTGGTAAATTAATAGATACCTTTACCAATTAGTAAAGGTACCGAAAAGAAACAAGAAAAATTTATTAAATTTTAATCGACAATAGTAATAAATATTTATTACATTTTGTTCTAAAAATTTGCTTAATTACGTTAATGAGGAAAGAGATATTTTTTTCGTATGCTTTATATTTTCAAATTATGTATCACATTCGCATTTTATTATCAAAAATAATATTTATCATATTTTCATTACGTTAAAGATTTTTTTAATCTAAGCACCTATTGCTTCATTAAGAAATATTTTAAATGCGAGTGTTCGTAGTTTCAACAACTCAGAAACATTCTGCAAATATTTATAATTAACGAAGGATGTACATAAATTTGTTGAGCAACAACTTGCCACATTGTGGTGTAAATGTAATCTTAAGATTACATCAATATTTTTTCATATATTAAAGATGAGAATTTGGTAACAAACGCTTGTTTAAAGATTTTTCTCATTTTGTAATGAGAGTGTGTTTAATAATCTGTAAAACATCTACAAACATTATATTAAAATTGCATTTATATTATAAAAATCTTATCTATATGATACATTTTATTAAATTATATAAATAATAATAAAAATCAAAATTCAAAAAATTTCCGTTGCTCTCCTACATTTTAGTAGTTAATACTTAATAATTTAATTTTATGAACCAAATCTTTCGTTTTTCTTCGATTTTTTGGCTAGAAACTGAACACGGAACTGAATAACCAAAAAAATTATAACTTATAAAAATAAAGTCTCGTAAACTAAACAACAGTGCTCTCAACCAGAAAACCCAACAACAAAAGAAAATACTCTTCTTTCAAATATTATTGTTAAAAATTCTTAACTTTACTTGTTATTGGGATATTGGTGGTAGACCTTTTTACCCGCGGTTCTTTAAACCCCACTCTACCCTATACAAAAATGTTAAAACAAAAATCCGTTAAAAGATGTTGCATTTTAAATTTGTTATATTAAATAATAAAGTTTATATTGAATGTTTTCACAACACGATTAAAACTGCTATTAAAATTGTTCTTATATAATGAAAATTCTATCCATATGATAAATTTAATAAAATGGTACACACAAAAATAAATCAGAATTAAAATAAAAATTCGAGTAGGAACTTTCCGTTTCTCTAGTCAATAAAATTTAATTTTGTGAACCAAATCCCTCACATTATTTCAATTTTTTGGCTAGAAGATGAACACGGAAGCAAATTACCAAAATAATTGTAATTTATAAAAATATATATAAAAAATAAACGTATAGACGGAAAAGATCTTATAACATTTCATAATAAAATTGCAGTGCAAATAATAATAGCAAACGTGGGAGTATCTATGATAAATAATCGAAATTATTTTGAATTTAAAATTAAGTTTGACTATGGATATCTTTATGGATACAAACTTTCTATATTTAATTTTTTTTTAATCCTTAAATGCTATGAAGAGGTTAAATAATTTCACGTAAAATTTGAAATGCTTTTTACAGCAATCAAGGTACGTTCGCTATGCACTTTTTAAAGGTGAACATTGAAAAATCATTTTTATCGATTGCATTTGCCCTTTTGAAAAACTCCGTTCACTATTACAAACGCCGAGAGATCTAATGTTCATCTCAGGCGCATCGTCGCAACCTTTTGCTCAAAACTTCTCAGAAACAGATATAGAACATCGGTTGTAATCAACCCAGAAATATTTTATGATATTAAAAGGTTATTCATTTTTAGAAGAAAATTAAAGGCGGTTGATGCAACTTTAGATATTCTCAAACTTTCGAACACCACTAATACGTTTAAATATTAAGAATTAGTATTTTATTAATTCAATGTAATGTCTGAGTATAAAAAATTGACTACAATAAAATTAAATTAGTGGTACATGGCATCGTGCCTTAAGGCAAATTGCTGGAACTTTCCGTACCAGAATTAAATATTCGAGAAAAAAAGATCAGTAATTTTGATCAATGTTTAATAACAATATTTTAAACAGTTTCAAATAAATAATTATAATCACTATATATTTTATCGTTCATAAAATATACAGTGACGACCTTATCGCTCAAAACACTTGAGAAAATTTACATCAGCAATAGGTTGCCGAATAAATCCATCTGAGGATATATTTCTTATGATTAGAATAACGCATTTGAAATGTTTACATTTTCAAACTAGTTTGTAAATATAAAATTCATATTTGAAGTATAAAACTTTGAATATTTTTGAAAATTTTGAAAAAAATCTGAAATCTAAAAATTTATCAAATTCTTATTTCTGACTGCCAAATATCACTTTTTTTTACTTTTTTCTCTGTATCTCCGAAACCGCTACACCTGGCTTACCAAAAATTTCATCAGTCTTTCATTTCGTCAATACATGTAACATGTTTCATGAATCATTCAAATCGGGTACTCCGTTCTCTCAAAAATTGAATGACCGTTTTTGGCACTTTTTGTCCCGTATCTTCCAAGCGGCTAGACCTGTCTCCACCAAAAACTAATCAGCACATCTTCTCATCAATAGGAATTGAATGTTTTTTGAATCATTAAAATCGGTTGATTTGTGCGCCCGAAATTGTGGACGACAAATTGTATCCAAACACACACACATAAATCAATTTTTCTAAGGTATGCCAAAATGTTCAGAAACTTTCAAAACGAGCAAAAATTTTCATTTTTGATTTTTTTGCGTTTACTATAACTTACCCTACGGGAAGTTAATAAATTTACGCCTGACAATAATTTGAAATTAAATCAATTGTTAAGTATTTTTTTATATAAAATGCCAGTGAACCTATCTTTGATGATCAAGATCCGTAAGTTTTTATTTCATTCAGAAACTTGAGATTAGTATATATTGGCTTCATATGTTACTTTGCAAAATCATTGTTATCATTATTTTGGTACTAGTACAAAGGGTGTCTTAAAATGTTGTAATTATAGATTACCCATGGTCAGTACTCTATAGTAAATTTAGTATTTATTATAATAGATTTTCTTTCCCTTTCATGGTGTCTGATTTCAAATTTTCACTAAACTATCTCCTCTTCTCGCCAGACAAAAAAATCTTTAAACGCTGAACTTTACATGCTTATCAAATTTTGAATAAGAACTAACATTAAATCCAGAGATAATGAAAATATCCGCAATTACATTATGAGCACACATAAATTAATTTAATTTTATAGCAATACTTTGTAATAAATCTTAAATTTAATAAGCGAAAAGGTTACGTCAACATATCGTCAGATGAGATTACAAAGAATAGATATCTAACAACAAAGAGTTGATTTATTTGACAGAGAAGTATTAATGAATGACTTTACGATCACCTTCTCTACATATCAATTAACTCTTTTACTTGATGAATTTTTCTTATATCTATGTTATAATATTTCACTAATACTAATCGAAATATAAAATTTTGTTATTACGACTCATAATGAGGTTATTTTCATAATCTCAATATGAGATTCATTCAAATCAATTATTATTCAATTTCCAATCAATTATTTCTATTATTGGGTAAACTACGAAGCTATACAACTTTTATTGTATATAGGGTAGAGCGGGGCTTAAAGGTCCGGGAGTAAAAAGGTACACCACCGATATATCAAAAACAAGTCAAGTTGAGATTTTTTTAATATCAATATTTGAAAGTTTAGGGAAAAAGATGTCTAATTAGCCATCACCTTGATACTTACGAC